AAAATGATCTTACTAACCCATACAAGCAATTGAAGTTTATTTTGTTCCAAACATTATGGTGTTGACAGAGTTTAAAGTGCCAAACTTTGTTAAGTATCAGGCTAGAATGCCCAAACACCCATCTCTGGTCATACTGCAACAGATAGTTGAAGTTATCCATGATGAAAAAATGCTAATCTATTTCTTTTATGATAGTCTCACAATGTCTGTATTAAGCTAGTATACGAGACTAAATGGTATCAAGATTACCTTATTTGACAAATGCCTTCTTTAAACAATATAAATTCAATTTAAAAACTGCTCCTAATAAAACCAACCTCATAGCCATAGAAAAAAAAATCATGAGTCCATGAGGATATATACTAAAAAATAACGAGATAAGGCGACAAATGTTCAACCTTTGCTAATAGAAATAAAAATGGTGATATTGTTCACCAAAACTTTCAAATCCCTATATTATGAGCATCTAATAGGAAGCTTAGCTCAGCAATTTTATGATATTATGAGGATCGCCAAAAGAAATAAACAAGTTATCAAAATGGGGAAAATTGAAGGTCCTACCATGGATTCTAGAACAATGATGAGAGATGAATTAGAACATAGCTCTAAAGTGAAAAATCTTAATTATATGGTTTAATCAGGTCTCGTTGTAGCATCAATTTCTTAAGTGTCTATGTCAAATATTGACATACCTCTACCACTTGAGTTTGTCTACCAACATCTATTAAACTCTAGACATGTTGCCATGACTCTATTAAATCTTATACAACCATTGTTTTCTACGTGGTATAATTCAAACAAAAGATATTAATATCATGATAGGGTCATAAGCCATTCACTTGAAAATTGTAAAAATTTCAAGTATCATGTCCAGAAGTAAGTGAGCAAGAGACGAATTGAGTTTGTGAAGAATAGTGGTACCTACCATATAGTTACCATCATCTTTAACAATAACTAGTAACTTACAAAATACGGACAAGGCATATAGAGTTACCCAGAGAATAAACAATATATTTTGCTTTAATATATTTTTCATATATTGTAACTACATCACATACTTTCAATGAATTATGATTTATTATTTCTCTAATAATTGTCTTGAAATAAAGAGATTTTTTTTTAAATGATATTTTAGTCTAACTCTAACATGTGAAGTTAAGGCTAATCAATCCCGAAAAAATAAAAAGAGTTTTGATGGCAGAAATGATTTGATGCTTGTTAAAATGGCATAGGGTGACCAAACAAATTTTGAATTCACATACAAAATTAAACCACACATCATAGAGCTAAGTTTTAATGGTATGCATATTGATATGTAGTGGATTTGGTAGTTATGAACTCGTGAATCATGGTTCTTTGCAAGTACAAATCATCTTACTGGACAATATCAAAATTTATCAGTTCTAACTTACCTTACTTGAAATTAGAAAAGGTCATCTTTATGATTGCCAAGTCCAAATCATTACGCTGGATAAGTTCAAAGTTTATCGGTTCTAACCACCTTGCTTGAAATTAGAAAAGGTTGTCTTTGCTTATTCATTTCACAATTCTTAAAACATGTATCATTTGCAATCCTAATTTGAGTCCAATGAAATATTTCTTTAAAAAAAAAACTCTAATATGAATCACATTTAATATTAAAGGCAAAAAGAAAATGTGAGCAAACTGCCAAAATGCATACATGGATTTATAAAAATCAAAACCTAATGCTAAGGGGCACCATCATAAACAGGAGGAAGGTAGAGAGAAAAGAGGAGAAAAAAGAAACAAAATATAAGGACAAAAAAAAAGAGAGAAATACTAATAAGAAAACACAAGTGTAAAGGTCTAAGAGCCTAAACAAAAGATTTCTTAGTTTTGCAAGGTTATCAAAGGCAAAATTTTCCAAAAGAAAACAAAAAAAGAGTAGTTATTTTAAGTGTATTTTTTTTATCGAAAAAGAGGTCTTTTAGGCCTGCTTTTGATTTTTGTTATTTACATTTATTTTATATTTATGTTTATAAGCATTTGAATACTTAACAAGTAATGTTGTGTTCACTTTTTTGTTGTTGTATTTTTTTATTTAATGTTGTTTATTTTGAAGTTTGTTTTTTATTTTTTGATATATTAAAATTATTGTTTAAGTTTATTTTTGATATATAATGTTGTTTTAGCTTTTGTTTAACTTAAATTATGCATGTTAAAGCAATGGTGTTTTACCTTGGGTTTGTTAGGTCTATTCATATACAAAATGGTTTAGAAAATCAATTTTGAATCCATGTTTATGAATATATAGCCTGTTTTAAGTTTATATTTTTTAGATTTAGTATCTCTTGCTTGATTTTGATGTTTTGAATTTTTTTTATTAGTTTTTTATATTCAAATATGTTTGTGTATAATAGTGTGACTTATTATGATAAAAAGAACATGTTTTAGAAGCCAAAAATACATATTTATAGGCTTGGTAGTGCCTACCCTTTTTTGGCATGGCTAGTTTTTTTTCTTAGGTTTAGGCGATGTTCTTTTTATTCTTAAGAACATTGTGTTAATTCCTAGATTTGGACTAATCTCGGTCCAATTATTTGCATATATAGCTTTTTTATGCATGATTAACTAATAATCTAGTTTATTAGTATCAATAATGTGTTTTATTTTGGTCAAATCATGATAATTCATTGATAATTAAAGTGAGTGGATGCTAGATTATTGATCCTTACATAATTTTTAATATGCAAGTGCCTTCAGTTTGTCCATATCTAGTCTAGTTGGAGAGCTACGATGTTGGCTTCACATTGAATGTTCTTCATTTGTTCTTTGTGCTCTTCTAGGAACATTACCATAGTTATATAACTTTAACTTGTTTTGTTTTATTTATTTTCCCAAAACCCTTTCTTATGTATGATTAACCAATAATCTGGTGTTTATTTATATTAATAATATGATTTCAATGGTTTTTAATTCAGAGTTTCAATTTAAAATCAAAACTTATTTTGACAAAATCGTGATATTTTAATGATAATCGAAGTGATTGGATGCTAGATTATTGATCTTTGTATGATTTCTAACATGTATGTGCTTTTTTTAACTAAATTTGGTCTAATGTGGAACCTACGTTACTGAGTTCAGTTTTAAGTGTTCTTTGTGTTCTTCATCTTTTTTTTTTTAAGGGTTTCTTGAGTTTAAGGGTGTGTTTGGAAAACACCCCTTCAGCTTATTTTAGGTTTTATTACAAGAAAAATTAGGTTTTTGTTGAACAAAGCCTTAAAAAATAAAAAATAAAAAATAAAATCTCTTTTCTTGCATATGGTCAAAAATCGTACATTTATCTAAGCATCTTTTTTCAAAGAATTTTTTTTAAAAAAATCATGTTTTAAATGGATTTTACAAGAAGTTTGTAAAATTCCAAAAGATTTTAGCCTATATTTAAAAAATATTAAAAAAATATTTTTGGCAATGAAATATTATTCACTTTTTATATAAGGAAAAGAAACCTAAAAGAGGTTAATATCCAAAATATTATTAGAAATAATAATTTAGTATCCATTTTAATAAAAAGATAAAAAAAAAACTATTTAAGTTTAATATCTAAAATATTATTATGAATACAACTCATTCACTTTGAATATAAGAATAAAATCCACTTGAAATTTTATCTGGAATATTATTTGGAATGACACAGTGATAAATTTCTAGTTTTACCTTGAAAAAAACTTTAACAATAATTGAGGATATTTCACCTTTTCAAATTGATTTCTTAACTTAAAAAACTAAGTATTGTTCATTATAGCACACTTGTCATAATAGACCAATAGAAATACATATCATTAAATCATGGTAAACAATTGAAAAAAATTATAATGTAGCTTATTTTAAATAAAACATACTAGAAATACTAATATATTTTTATTATACAATTAGTTATTTATCTCATATCTTTAAAAAAATCAATTAGAATTTTTATTAATATTAGTTGATAATTTTCTAACCAATTAAAAAAATCTTATAAACCCTGTTGGGGAAGGGTCACCACATCATTGCACAATGAAACTAAATCAAACATCTTTAAGACCGAATCTATAGGTCTTTTTGGGCTCGATTAATTACAACAAGTCGTATTTTTCATAGAATTGAGTCTTTAGAATTTTTTTTATTAAAATTTAAACTCAATTTAATAGTTAAAATTGAAAATTAGGACCTCTTATTAACACTATATTGGTCTACGAGGATCATATCCCTTCTCTTCTAGAACCTAGCTTTGTCCCACTGACCTATAAAAACATAGAACCGTCAACGAGCCCGCCTACATAAAATTGCTTGGAACCATCAACTAGCCCGGCTACACAAGTTTAGCCGGAAATAAGCCACATATTTTGTTGCAAATTTGACATATGAAATAAATAATTTGATCAACTATTGGATTAATTGAACTTGTGTGGGATCCTTAAGGAGGCCAATTCATTAAATGGTTGGATGGGATGTCTTCCCCGTTTCGTACTGCGCTTGAAAATGCTTTTGAACTGAAAAGCGTCAAGCAAATACACATGCAGTTTCCAATGGCAGTGCTTAGTCCAGAATTTAGTTTTGTTTGACATGTAAAAGCAAACCCCTCCTTTCTTGCTTTTTTTTCTTTTTGGTAACATAACAAAGAGATATGCCTTGAGATTCTGGTGCAAGTAGAAATACAAGTTGCTGAGCCTGGTCAAGTAACATTTCACAATATTTGATTTTGTCCAAGTTTTTCTTGATGGTTTGGTTCATGAGCTGGGCTGCTGATGGTTTTCATTCGTCGGCTTGAGTTTTGATATGTTAGGCCGGTGTCATTGAACTTTCATGCAAGCAAATTGACTATAAAAGATGATGCTCTAAGAGATCTGCATATCTCATTTTTCCCATTTCGATTTCCTAGTAGTTAAATTGTTTACTGCACGGCAGAAAAAGTCTAATTCGCAGTTTGCTCATCTGTGATTGTCAACTTATTGATGTTACAAGTATTGATACAGAATGCGCGAGTTCTGGGAAGCAATGCTGCTGAAGACAGAGACCATCTTTTCAATGGATGCCCCTTTGTGCTAGATATTTGGAATTCTGTATCGCAGAGAAGTTGTATTAATTGAAGGGTTAGTTCTTGGAGTGCAGGGTTTCAATGGGCCCAACATAATTTGCAGAAAAGTTCCTTCTTGTCAGTTATGCTAAGGCTTGCTCTGTGCTCTACTATCTATTATGTTTGGATGGAAAGTAACAAGAGAATTCACTCCATGATCGAATGCATGGACAAGATTTGACTGGGTGGATTACTCAGGCTGTTAAATAAGCTGCATAATGCTCTTATTCTTGATGATCAACATTTATTTACTTCAACAACATGCTATCACTGATGATCAAACTGGAGCTTTTAGACAATTCAGTTAATCCTGATGGGATTCTTCTCCTCGATTCTTGAAAGGATAAAGACTTCATGCAACATAAATTTTAGACGCTGCCTGCTGGTTATCAACTGTGGAATGGAATCCCAAGTAGGGCTTCTAATTGACCCGTAAAATTAAGATTGAAACTTGACTTTTCTTCAACATGATTAGTTTTCTGGTTTATATTTCTATCCCACAGCTAGATTCTGAAAATGGACAGATTTGACAGGAATGTTAAAGGAGGTCACAGTGGCTAGCAACTAGCTGGACAGATACGCTGAACCCCTGAGCCATTATGAACGACTTGACAGAAGACCTGAATTCTTTTCAATTACCTGACCCATCTGATGACAATACGGTCACCTAAAATGTCTCGTGCATTTATTAAGATGCTAGTTGGTTTTTAACAAGGAAGAAAAAACAGGATCCAAGACTTCATGTCCTAAATCATTTGTCTTCCTCTTATTAGCTTTCTTTGGGATCCCAGCACTCTCTTTCAACATTCTCCTTCCCTGGACAAGTGGTGATGTTGAGACCAGCAGGCTTGCATAACCTACAAGCCCTTGTTTGTTTTCTCAACTATTTTCCACCTTCCTTTCTTTATTGCAAGGGACGTTCTTTTGTCTGACTTTGGAGGACGTCCAACAAAAGCACCAACGGTTTTTCGTCATGAACTTCTTCACCAGTCTAAACAATTTCTCCTGAAAGTTATGATGCAATGGAAAATACATAGAATGAATTTTAAAACAATATTCGTGAAGGACTAAAAAAAGATCACTATTCCAAAAGACAACATGCTCTTGACTCTGTGGCTCCATACAATGTTGCATCAAGAAATTATCAATAGAGCAGCAACAATGTTTGTTCAATATCTTTGATGAGAACCAAGATAGTATAATAAGAAACGTCTACAGTAGAGCAGAGAAGGCACGACAGAAGCAAGCAGAAACTTCCAGCGAAGTCACTGCACAAGGAATTGCGGCAGCATTAAGTCGACAACCAGAGGCGAATGAAGAGGCAGAAGTCTGCAAATTAGTTTTGAATAAGTAAGAATTCTTCATGAGCAACATCAAAAAAAATTTTAAAAATGAAAATTTTAAAATGAGAAAAAAGGAAAAGACAAGAAAGAGAGAAATTACCTTCATCAACTACAGAAATGCTTTTGTTATTTCATTGCGCAGAAGTGCATGGTACTTCCATTTTATCCACTCCTCCGAAAATACTAAAAGGCATATCATTAAAATTAAAATTCATCCTATCTGATGTATCGAATACAACAACATATCCATGTCTTCGATTCCAGTCAAAGAGGTGGGCAGGAGATCGGATATATGCTCTAATTTTCCCTGTCACTAGTAAAATCATATTGAAATTTTCATCTTTAATCTAGTTCAATTAAAGGTTAGTTTTCATCTTTCAAGTAACTAAATATTTTAACATCTCCATAATTAACAGTAAGGGTAAATTCTCAAAAAAAAAAAAAATAGTAGCGTTCCATGATACATACAAAAAAAAAAGAGCAAAAATGTATTTAGTTAAAGGGATAATAACAGATATATAAAATAATTTTGTTTCACGAAAAGTTTTAGAGTGAGCTTGTGACAAGTTCATTTCTCTTCTTTATCTTTATCTTTATCTTTTCCATCTCGAAACAACAGTGAAAATCCCTTTATTTTTATGGCACCTTTTACGCTTGAATCAAAATCTACTTAATTCACTAATATAATGAGCGAGAGATATGGACAAGGAAGAAAGGTCACAAGAATAATAATGGAATTCTCTGTTTGTTTCAGAATAGATAGATGGCATTGACTAATTTTCTTTTGCCAATTTACCACAGAATATTGCAACTATTCTGTAAGAAGCTGGAATCCATAATCTGTGACACAACAACTTCGGTAAAGGTTACAGGACCAGCAATATCAGCCTGTAAATCGTCTATGACAACGTGAGCTAGAAGCACAAACGAGCATCAGATTGGTCGTACGTGTTGGCGACATTAAGGCAAATTTGTTTCCTTTGATCACGCATATATGGAATCTTGGCAAAGTTTGTTGACTAACTAGCCCAGCCCCTGTTAACGACCTTGCCAAGCAAGTTGCCCTGCAGGAACTGGAGTAGCTGCCACACAGATTTTTCAACTATTTGATCCGGATGTCCGATCGAACCTATAAATCCAACTCCCATTGCATGCTACGTTATGATCCAGTCACTCTCATATTTGAATTAACTATCAGATAATGTTTAATCTATGCAGCTGCTCTGTTTGTCTTTCCATGTCTTTGTTACCCCCCAGAAAGCGTTCATTGATTCCGGCGGTCTAAGGAAATACACAAGAAGAACAGAAAGTGAGTCTAGAAAATTATGAAACGTCACCATGTCAGCTTGTGGGGTGCCCGTGATCCTAGGATGTTGCCTTAATAATTCGAGATTCGGTTGTGACAAAAATATATAAGTGGGAGAAATGTTATTATCAAAGATGAATGGAGACAGTGGGGACTTAATTGGGATCTAGAAATAAAGATTCTTAGGAGCACTTAGAAACAAATCACATTAAATTAGGCTATGATTGGCATTGCGGTTCTTTTGAAAATCTTTGAAATTTTTTTAGTTTTAAATTAATATTTTTGATATTTTGAATTGTTTTGAAGTCCTAATATTAAAATTCAATTTTAATATATATATATATATATATATATTATTTTGATATATTTTTACATTAATAATATTTTAAAAAACAATATTTAACATAATCTTAAACAAGCCCTGACCATAAATAAGAGAAGAATCACTTTTGCTAGGACAATGGTGGTAATCTTTGTCACTTGCCTTGTTCTTGTGTTTACTAGCTAGTCTTATTTTTCCTCTCCTACACCTTAATTTGTTTCCTAGTTTTAATAATTTGTTTTCCCATTTTTAATTGTTTACGGCTAATTAATAACATGAACAGCTTATGCTTAATATGCTACTCTATTTCACCTTCTTATTAATTAAGGCTTCATTACATGGACCTCAAAATGTTATTCACGTTTACATTTTCATCAAGGAAGCCATTTCAGTAGGGGGGAGAAACTGTGGAAGAACACACATATATTAGTTGATGGATATAGCGATATATCCTTTATGAACCTCTGATGATTTGTTTTTTTTTTTTTAATCCTACTTTACATTAGAACAAAGGATAATGAAGAAAGCATCCTCAAAATATAAGGTCCTACCCTACCCAATTTGTGGACACACAATCTCAAACTATAAATTAACAAAATCCTCGCACAAGGACGATGGAGCTTCTATTAATAAAGGAAAGAAAAGATAACAAGACAACTTTTCAAAGAAACACGGCCCTCTCAAGTTGTTCATAGCTGCCTTTATGTGCAGTAACCACACCAAAAGATGATGAACAGCAGAGAGCCGGCCAATGTAATCAATTATATATGAGCTCGGCCAGATTTATGTGATCATGGAATATATATATATATATATATATACACACAGTCCTACCTACCTATATATACATGCATAATGATCTGGCTATCAACTCTTAATTAGTATCTTCTTTAATAAGATGTTCTAATTGATGTGGTAATTACGTGATCATAAAGTAATCAGGTTTCCCAGGCCCCACTCCCCCTCCAAACTTATGACTTATTTTCAAAGCTTCCAAATTAATCCCATTTTATATGTACGTTGTGGATTAATTTATCGAAAACAAAAATCAGGCAACAAAGCTTCCACTACATCTCTGGCAAGCTGAGAGAATAATTCTTCCCGAGATTTTTTATCATTTAAGCTTGCAACCCACTAGAGCTAGTTAATGTAAATGGTTAATATATAATTAAGAACACCATTGTCTGTAATCCTCTTGCTTTAGATACATAACATTCTTTTGAGGTGTGGACAAGAGAGACTAGCTAGAGATGTGATTTGTGAGTCTTGTATTCTCACTCTAGTTAGCCGTGAATTATTGATTTGGGAGAAGCCATTATCTTTTCTCATACCAAATTAACAGAGTCCCACAGTTGCAATCATGAGCTTTTTGGTGAGAGTTTAGACATCATAATTAGGGTTGGAAGTTTCCATCCGTGAATTCTTTTAGATGGGATCTAGCTAGGGAGTGGGTAGAGAGTAAGCTTCACCGGAACATTTAAGATATACAAGTGATGCAGCGGCAGGTTAACAATTTTCTGAAGGCAGCAAGGGCAAAATATGATTCCAAAATCCGTCACTTTCATCAATTATCACCTCCAGACATCTCATTGACCAGATTTGAAAGCAAAGACAATCCTCTTTTGTCATGATTCTCCACGCTTTTATATATATTTCTAGCACGTACAAGATCTGCAGCTGCATGTGTACATGGAGAGAAAAAAGAGCAATAAAATTGATTTGGTGGAGGTGGTTGCGTTCAATAAAAAAGGAAGGGATGGTCTATATTTACTTCACCTTTCCAAACCCTACTGTTGTAGTTTCTCCGACTGTCCATCTATATAACAGATAGTTTCTAACTATGCTCTTCAATTAATGCTTACTGTTCATATTTCAGCTCAATAATGTGAACTTAATAAATCGCCTTGCCGTAATTTGTTGTGAGAATTCTGCATGGAAGCTAGCTGTTAAGTGGTGTGTCCTCAACCCATTGATGGCACGAATGAATTCATCACGCAAGGTCCTGGCTAGAAAAATTGTGCCTTTTGACACCCACCTATTCCCACAAAGAAAATGCAGAAACTGAAGAGAGCGCTATACATTGTATATATGACTACATTATTTAAGGATCGTTTAGGATTAAGGTCGCCAACTCCAAGAATATCAATTTAATGCCTTTTTAATCTATCCATCATGAGCCCCTCAGCGTCACCAAAAAACACCCTTTCTCATTTACTTGCGTGGGGTTTGGAGTGGATAGCCCCTCCCTTCCATTCAAGCTGAGAGTGAATGAGAAATGCCGGGTAAGGAATGTGTGGTGATAAGATAACCTCAAGCCCAGGGCAGCAGATCACAGTCATTTTTCTTCTGTCTGGCTTCAAATAGTTCATGGAATAACACTTGAGAGGAGTCATTATTGTTTCATTGAATTATAAAGAAAAAATGGGGGGGGGGAGCAAGGAAGGAACTCGAAAGAATTAGGAATGTGGGACATTGCTGCCGTGAAGTCATTATCTGTACGAAGACTAATAAGTTTGGTCCATGCAATACTTGTAGTAAAACTTTTCTCATGAGGTTTCAACATGCAACTCATGACACTCACTTTGAATTGAAAGATGCGGCCCTTTTAAAACCCGAAACTCTGGAAGTTGCAAGGTATATTATAGACAACAGAGGAGCGAGGGAAAGAAACTGATAAATTGATAGTGTAGTGTAGCTACACGATATAGTAAAGCATTCTGAGGTATTAACTAGAACAGTGTCCAGTATGAGAGG